GCTCGATGGCAATGAGTTTTAATTTGACAAATATTCAAGTGCAAATGCAATTGTGTCACTTTTTAATGCCATCAATGTCATTACAGGTGCCATATATGTGAAGAAAGCGAACTTTGAAAGGTTCGAATGCGTGATTTTATGCCACAGTCCTGGCGCGTTTCAACCCTTGGGATATTTTACTATAATAGGGTGTGTTTACATCCCGTATTAAAATTTGCATATAACATTAGCGCGCAACAAAGATAGTGATAAAGGAAAGAGTGGTATAAGGGGGCGGTAAAAAAAAGTTATATAACATTTTATTATTTAATAAATTATTAAAAAACATAAGTTTGTGCAACTCCCTGTGCAAATACCGACGACGTTCCAATCTCTATGACGTTTTAATGAACTTATTCCGCGGAACTTCCTTGACGCATTTCGTTGTCTATGACCTCAGAATAATTTGATCAGTAACATCATGCTAAATAATTCAACGTGTTTTACGAAGAAGATCATCGCTGCTGCATACGCTGACGAGATCTGTCAATTTATTTTGTGTTAGAAAAGGCATCTGCCAGTGTTGCATCAGAACACATGCCCCGAAAACGTCTCACAGTAGTCGTGTTCGCCTTTTATGTTGTTTACAAACAAGCGTCTACCCATGATCCTTTGCGTTTTAGCGTGTGTTGTTATCGTCGCTTGGGACTCAATTCCCGCGCGTGCGCAGGTGACGACCCGCCTGCTTTAACTACAAAATAGAGGGGTGTAAGTCCGGGTGTGCAAAACTTGAGTGACATAACATGACACCGCTCAGATGCTGCTATAACAAATTATAATAATAAATATAAATATATTTCAATTGTTCTAGTTTATAAAACATATGGTGTCATCAGTTCTTTTGTACATACCATTATATTTAAGTTGAGTTATTGTCTGGTTTGTTTTTGTCCATTTTATCATATTTGAGTTATTGTCTGTTTATTGTTGCATATTGCACAGTAATATACACTCTAGTTCATGATTCATAAAATAGGACACAATATGGTGTGTTCGTGATGAAAAAGGGCACCGCGTCAGTGCGCATAAGTATTGAAACCAGAACTGCAGTTCAAATTGTATACTAGTATTTCAGATATTTTGACATTTTTCGCGGTTTTTAGTTGTTTTTTTCGGTAATACTTGTTCAGATGAATTGTGCGTCTGTGCATATACATATTGACAATTTAACTTTCACATAAATACAGATTATTGATAGGGATCATGCAGGAACGGATTGGTTTGGGTGCTACATTCCAATGATTTTTAATATCGCAATGCGCAATGTACATATATGAGTAACGTGGTTTCATTGGGGCGCGCTACCTCTAAGTTCACCCCATTATTTCATCGAACGAATACTCAGTGTGCTACAGCGTATTTAGTTCATTTAAATCATAGTCAAATAACACAATTGCTAAACGTGCATATATCTCATTGGCCAAGGCTGACGTTGAGTTGGGAAAACAAATTGGGTGACGAATGTGCGAGATATCCTTAATTGCTACGAGGTTTTTGTCTCATGCCTGTCTAATTAATTTTCATTTTGTTATTCTTCCAAAGAATGAAAGACACGTGACAACATGAATGGCGGGCAGAATGTTCAAGTATGAGAGTAGGTTGCATTCGTTTTGTACGGTGAAGTAGTCTCCAACAACTACAAGTTACCTTGCCAGTCATCACATAAATCAACCGTAAAAAAGCGTTTGAAATCCCTATGTTCAAGTCATCATCATCGTCCGCCTGCACGGTGTTGCTCCGTTCGAACATTCCTCCCTCCCCAACAGTGGAGTGCTTCGCCGGAACATTCACCTTGAAAATTCAAGATGAGGTAGAATAGAAAATGCAAACTGTATAAACCACTGAGAGGCCTTGTACTGCCTTCCCTTGGCAACACTAAATACTAGTAAACTATAACTAGCAACTCCCACTCAGCTCTTGTCCAGTAACAGGCCTCATGCTCTTTGCAATTTAGCAAAATTAATTTATGTTGCATAAAGAAGCATTGAACCTATGATGACGTACATTACATTGTTTTGTTTTTTTATATCGCCCTGCTTTTGTAATTAGTTTTTGTTATGTATATATATACTGATGTGTTCACCACCCATTCGTAGATCATTTGTGGAATCATTACTAGAACTTGTGGATTGACTTGTCTGTTCAAATGAATATATATAGTAGGTGCGGCATACAATTAGTGTGTTGATTTTTCAAATCAGTATCATTTATTTTATCAAGCCACGGTCACAGACTAGACTAGCTCCTCAGAGCTATTTCTGTGACCGACACCGGAAAATTGGCTACCTACATTTGTTTCTCTTTACATATGAATAATGTAATTATATTATATTTTACAATTTATATTATATGGTGTAAATAAAAATAAATAAAAATTCTATTGGTACAAATAAAAAATATAACCTCCACCAGCATCAATCGATACAGGCCAGTATAGGTAGCTTAGTTATGCTAGTACACACTACATAACTACGCCTCGAAATACGGGCAAATGTTTCCCCGAATGTTTTGGTAAGTAATGGTATCCTCGGGGGCGGAGCTACGTCACGGACGTTCTACGTTGCTAAGACGCGCACCACTGTACCACGTATTTCTATGGGCTTTGTGTGCGCTGCTGTGGAACGCCAGTGGAGCCGGTGAAAACTCGAGAAAACAACACAAACTCAACTTTGAAGTAACCCTGAACAACCAAATTCATATATGTTACACACGTAGGGCTAATCTTGTTACACTGTTCAGGGGACTCTCATCAACCATCGCAAAGTACCATTTTCTGCGAGTTATTTTGCTTTGTTTTCACCGCGAGGGTTGCCAGTCGGTAGAAAATTCCCGGATGTCCGCCCCCGAGGATTAAGAAGGTTGAGGTCGTGCGGCCTATTAAACTAGCGGTAATATAATCTTGTTATTTCAAAATTGTTACATAATTATTCACTTGACACAAGTCATAATTTTAAATATTATTTGTAAAAAAATATTTTCAAGGATTCTAATGGAATCAATTATTTATCACAAATATGCATCTTTCTAATACTAATTTAGAACCATACATTTATCCATCCTATAAATACATCATGATATAGTTTTGTCAGCATGTGTTACCAAACACAATTTTGAACTTATTCTTTTATAAATAAATCATATTCATCGGTCTTTTTTGTATCTGTTAATT